TTAGCTTGAAAGTGTAGGGGAGTGGTGTGGCCACAGCTTATTTCTCTAGAAGGTGACTTACAGGACAGGAGTTCTGAGACACAGAAGTGAAGCAGTATGGACTATTTCAGGTCAAAGACAGTGGTGGCTGCAGGGCAATGAGAGGTCAGTAGATTTGGGAAGAGGTCAAGTGAATGAATCCATGTGGCCAGAGTCAATTCAAGACATCTGCTTTGGGTACCTGCATTTAATGACTTGGTAAACCCGTGAGGCAGAAAACCAGTCTGGGGTCCGAGGGGGAGTGGAGACGTAGGGGAATTCAGTTTTGGATTGTAGCATTGCAGGAGGCTCCAGCAATCAACTGGATGTGCTCCAAATCTTTGGAGAGACAGGCTGGAAATAAAGATTTGTGACTCATCAGGTCCTAATTAGTCTCCATGACTCCTCTGGTGATAGAAACCTGTGAAATGGTAGAGGCAGAATACATAATGAGAAGGGAGGATTGCTCCAGAGCCACAAGGACCTTGCCCACTTCAAGGGGATACTATTAGTGTCCAGGGGTGCTGAGTAGGGCCATGTCTGTGCAGAGGCTTTGTGTCACTCCCTCTGCCAGGGAACATGGCTAAACTCCCATCATGGAAGCAATGAGTGAAGAAGCCAGAGCTCTCTGAGAGCTAGCTCAGCAATCTACCAAGTACAGTTCAATGTTTGAGGAATGAGACCCACCTACTTTTTAATTCTTAAATAGTGAGCATATTTCATGCTTTGAGCACGTATGCTAGAGTAAAATGTTTTTCTTTGTTTACTAATAACCTATGCTCATTGGTAAGCCATTTGCCTCATCAGTTAAACAGAGATGAATAGGGTAGAGGTATGGGAAATTAGAAAAACGTGAGATATGCAGTGTTGAGCCTAATGTGCAGGCGTTTGGGGGAGTGAGGGTTGTCCCCCCCTAATAGACAATCTAAGCCTTGTAATAGTAAACGGTGTTGTTTTGATCTCGGGTTTTTTGTTTAAATATGGTATATTTCCATGAAAAAAATTAATTATTGATTGAATTGTGCTGTTAGAATTGGGGTTGAGTTCATAACAGACAGGAACACGACTTGATAAACTTGCAAACAAACAAAGCAAAGGTTGTACTTCTTACCTCTTGTTGGAGGTTAATTTTATTATAGGATAAGTACACTAAACTGCCACATCCTTATTACAACTGTTTAAAGATTTTAGAGAACCCTGAAACCAATCCAAGCCTGGAACTCAAGATTCCATTAGCTATCATAAAACTGATTAATCTTTTACCCTGTTAGCATATTGATTATTGCTGCAATTACTGCCTGTAATGGATTATGTGAAGGATAGCTGAAGCAAACACACTTTATAACTGCTGCCTGTGGGTTTAGTTTGGCACCTATTCTGTACTTTCTAAGCATAATCTTTTATGTATTTTAAATGCTGGAATGATTCTGAGGCAGAAAGTGTCAGGCTAAGTGCTGCTTCAGTGTCGACAGATGGACTTTCTGGGTTTGGGCTTACAAAGTCCCTTCACTAGTGCTATGGCCACAGTTATATTTGTGAGCCCACAGTCACCCTGGGTGATGAGGTGAACATCTTCACTCATTTGGAAGCTGTGATGCTGAGAAGGTTAGGTGACTTACTGGAGGCTGTGCACGGTAGTGACTGGTAGAATCAAGGTTCAATCCCATTTCAGTCAATACATATTTATTTGACACTTTGACACCTACTACATGCAGAGCATATGTTGGGATGATAAAACCAAGACATGGTAGAGTCACATTGTGGTTTTTCTGTTCAACTCATGTTAGCTATCTTGGTGTCAGAGGTATAGGCTTTCATTGTTACTACCTGTTTTTATTTTTGTTTTGGTCAAGTCAGAGTCTTGTCTTTGCTATCACTAAGGATTTTTTTTTTTTTTTTTTTTTTAAATAACTGTTTAGAGCCAAATGGGAGAGAACAAAGGAAGACAATACTGCAAAGACACGTGGGGCCTGCAAAGACACATAGGGGCAGACCTAATTCCAGCTTGCTCTTCAGTGGTGTAATTGTGGTCTTTGCTCTTTTCTTCTGGGAGGCTTAAAGCACTCCTCTGGCTGGATCCCACCTTTAGAACCCAGCAGAGTGAGACCCAGCAGGAAACGGCCAACAGAGGCTCCCAGGAGTGAGCCCTCCAACTCCTAAGTGCCTTGCTCATTTACCTGGGCAGCAGCAGGACTAGCAGCCTGGTGGCCCAGTGACCTGGTGGGCGTGCTCTGTGCCAATGTACTACACATACCCCAGGTCAGGTCTTATCCTTGCCTGTAGGGAGTGTTGCATGTGTGGGAGCCTGAGCTCAGTCTGGGGCCTCATGGTCTCTGGCCCTGCTGCTCGGAAGTCACTTGTGCACACTGTGTTCACACCATGGGTTTGGTGACTACCCTTGTGTGTCTGTGTGTGTGTCCTGCTCTATCCTAGCTTGTCAGCAGGAGAAAAGATACTTGGATTTGGAAGCGCCTAATTGCCTGAGAAAGTCTCAATTCTGCACAGTATGTATCATTGCAGAGGGATTCTGTTAATCATGATACTGAGAGCTGGGTATAGATTGCCTAGATTTTTCACAATGGTTACAAACATATATGTGTAGTTTTCCAGTTGATTTGGCTCAGTGCTAAGATGAAAGGGAAACCTTTTTTTATTTATTTTGTGAGGTAAATAAATAAAGCTGGAAAACAGGTCAATTTCATGCATGCAAGGTTTTATAGTAGGGAAAAAGGCATTGCACCTGTTCTGACCCTTCACACTTGAGGTTATTTGTTTTCAAACTTGACCCCAAGCATCAGTTTCAGACAATTCTATAATTAGTTTGTTAGATAAAGCATAAGGATATTTTTTTTTTTTCTGATTTCTAGGACCATGGCAAAGTAGAAACCTACTATACATAGCAGTTAATTAAAGAAAAGCATTAACTATATGCTCCACCATGGCCCTGTCTTGTATCAGTATAAAAAGGCAGGAATTTTTTTGACAGCCACTGATTGGAAAGTTGCTTGCAGCCTTCCAGAAGCATGGTTACATGCTGTGGATCAATAACCGGCAAATTTCCCATTAAAAAGAATACCTGAGCAATGTTCCAAATAGCCACTGGCATCTTAATTTTCCACGGAAACCTCAAATACTTGTGTGCCAAGGACAAGTCATTTTCGGACAATTTTTCCAGACTACTTGTTAACAGTTATTGCTGTCCCAAAAGGTTGACAGCCAACATGATTGATATCTCACTTACCTGTCTTCTCCGTGTGAGTAATGGTGTGAGCGCTGTATTTCTGGGCTTTTCAGAAACAGTCTCATGTTTGCCTTCGTATATTCCAGAGTGATTTGCACATATTTACACTGTGTGTGTTTAAGTTTTTAGGTTCATAGAAAGAGAATTGCCTTCCTTTACAATTTGAAAGCCTTTGCAGGGGAGGCCATGCTCATTTCAGTCATTAGCAAGCAGTCCCCCCTGGGCCCCTCCCCAGCATGTTCACCTTCACCTTCCTTGTTTGCAGGACAGAAAGCCTTGGATTTCTCAGCTTCTGATCCTCACAATGATGTAGAATGCTGAGGCCTCTGCATATTTCTAAGGAAAAAAGATTCATTCTAAAGTAACTTTATATAAAACCAATAGAAAGACACATGTTTCTTTTTTTAACTTATTTATTTTTATTTTATGTGAATTGCTGTTTTGTCAGGTCTCCTAGAAGTAGAGTCACAGGCAGTTGTGAGCTACCTACCATGTGGGTGCTGGGAATTGAACCCGAGTCTTCTGGAAGAGCAGCCAGTGCTCTAAACAACAAAAGCCATTCTTCAGTCCCAAGATACAAGGTTTTTTTCTTTTAGTATGTTAGTGAACATGATAATCAGTTTTCAGGAATTCCCTGAAAATGTGGTTGTTAAGTGATACATGTATGTTTAAATATGAAAACAGCAAAGATGAGAGAGAGTTTTGCTTTTGATAGCCCCTCAAAACACAAAGTGAGGCTGGAGAGGTGACTCAGTGGTTAAGAGCACTGACTATCTTTCAGGGAACTGGGATTTGATTCCCAGCACCACATGGTGGCTCATAACATCTGTAATTCCAGGCCTTTTTCTGGTCTTGGCAAGCACCAGACATGCTAGTAGTACACAGACATATATGTAGGCAAAACACTTGGACACAAAACATTTTAAAAATTATTTTGGGCCAAGTCAGTGGTTTTCATTGTAGGCATTTTTCTTGATGAACACAGTACAGAAGCCATCTCCAGGTATAGGTGGACAGGTGGTCTAGGCAGTATTCTAGGGAAAGGGGATGGGACATTAGTCCAGTCTTTTTAGTGCCTTGGGATTATTTTATGAAGCGCAGTGAGCTATTGTCTTACTGAGGCTCTTGTATTTTGTGTGCCTAGAGTTTTACAATGAATTTGATCCACCTTAAATTATGCCTAAGGCTAAATTATGCATCAGAAGTAGGTTTTCTAGAATGGGCCTATCTTTTTGCTTGGGGTTTGTGTTGTCCTTGATTGAGTAATATGTTGTTTACTGGTCCCACTGTCTCTGAAACTTTGATATTCATTATCTGTGTGTTTTTATACACAGATGTACATGTTTGATTAACTGACATGTAGATTCAAGCCAAATATTGAGCCTATTCATTTTGCTTTACAAATGCAGAAGAAAAGGACAGGCAGTCTGAGTAATTTTTATCAAAATGCATTTTGTGACATTTAAAATATATATTATTTTTGAGTATGATAAATACTATCATGGCATCTTAGTTAATACTGTTAGTCTTAAAGATAATTGGATGATAATTCCATACTGGACTTCAAATCCTGAATATACCCACTGTAGTAATTTTTATGTGCAAATATAGGGAATGTGTTCTCAAGGCTGATATGTGCATACCAGCCATTTACAAAAGTGCAATGAATTAAACAGCCCGTAAGTGTCTGTCCTAGTATCCGTACATTACTGAGTAATTTCTTTCTATTATCTCTTTGCAGTATTACTCCACAGTAATGGAACAGCAAGTAAATGGCCAGCTAATAGAGCCACTGCAGATATTTCCAAGAGGTAATGTTGAACAAATTCTAATCAACGATGATTATTTCAGCAAACTGTTTCATCAACAGTTATGTTTTCCAAAGGTTTAAATGCACATAACATGATGTTTAGCTCTTAATTTGAAAAAAAAAAAAAAGCACAAAACAAAAGAAAGAAGTATTCATTATCATGGGGGATTGCAAGCTATATTATAGTTATAGCAGATAAAATATCTAATCTGCTAGAGTAAATTAAACTAACTAGATTTTTCTTTTCTTTTCTTTCTTTTTTTTTTTTTTTTTTTTTTTTTGCTTTTGATATACATACTTACATTCGCTTAAAGAACTCTTTGGGAGTCCCCATAAATCTAAACCAGGGCAAATGGATGCCTTTAGTTCTGGATTTATAGATTGTGACTCATGATTGTGGTGAAAGCTGCTGTTGAGATGAGAGCTCTCACCTAATGTGCAAACTATGAGAAATGGGGTTTGGACAGGGCTCTGGATAGGGCTCTGGACAGGGCTCTGGGCAGAGCTTGATATTTGTCTTGGGGTAGGGAAGGCAGTTAGTTGGTTAAGTCTCCAAATATGTGAGTGGATGAGGGTGAGTCACAGTGAGACTCCTTCTTTTAGGTGAGTAGGACCACACTTGTATCATTATGTGTTATGATTGTTCAAATTGTGCAAATATTCCCATAACATTTGAATAATGGTGAAAAGAGTGACTTAGTTATATATATAGACCAGTGTTTTTAACCGTTATTTTTGTCCCACTTGAAATCCATGTTTTCTCAGTAATGGAATAGTCCAGGAAATCCTCTAAGTAACTCTTCTAGAAATAGCTTAATTGAAATAATTAAAAGTTAAACTCACCTTCTTTAACTGTACAGATAATCATGGTATGAGTTTTCCAATTAAACATTCTAGACTTTCATTACCTGTAACTCAGAAGTTTGAATGGCTCAATTAACCAGTGGGCTCTATTTGCAGAGATGGTCTCCAAAGGCAGCTGGCTTGGTCAGCCGGGGAGGAGATCCTGGTTCAAGTGCAGTATTCCTCCTTGGGCGTTTGTGTGGGCAGTGGAACCAGGGAGCTTATTTTATTAGTAGTAAGAACTGAATGAAGGGCTAAGTGAGGGGATAAAACTGCTTCCTAAGCTCAGTGGTCATCCAAAAGAAAAATATGATTGATTGATCGGGCTATGCGGTGCTTGACTGAACAGGCAAACGGATATTGTCCCTGACAACAACACAGATTACTTTCTGGTTTTCTCAGTGACTGCAGAATTGGAGCAAATTTAAAAAATTATTTCCACCAAAAGGAGTAGTTGCTTCTGAGCTCTGTTATGGCAAAGCCAGGTACAGAGCCCAGAGAATTTAGTCGCCATGCTGGAGGGCTTTTCTTTTCAGTAAACTGCTTCCTTCTCTCCATGGGAAATCTGCCTTGTGGGTGTTACTGTTCCTATGCAGAGCCCTCTTGGTGGTAGCTCTCCCAGCAGTTTTACAGTAAAGGTTTACTGCTTCCATTGTATGGGGCTCAGAGGGGTGAAGTAACTGGAAGTGTTTAGTGTGCTCTGAGTGAGAAGTTGGTTTAAGTTACAGTTTGTTTCTGGGGAAACGCCTATTTATTTCAGGTACCAGTGAGGTGTGTGAGGGGAGTTTGGAGGGCTTAGTGGACAAGTGGGAGAAGAGGTTGCTGTAAAATTGAGACTGAGATGCTAGCTGGTATGACCTGCAGCCCCAGCACAGCACCTTTGAGGCTTAATGCATATTAAATGCAGTCTCACCAAGGCATACTGAGAGAAAATGTGACTTCATCCCCCTTCTTGGGGTCCTTTTCTGTGCTGTGACTTGGGTCTTTCGGGTTCTTTCTGTTGTCTTGTTTTTTGCCACCTCACTGCAGATGCAGATGAGTGGGTTGATGCAATGTATCACCCCACTGGTTATATTTTGTCAGCCTGACACAAACTGGAGATTCCTGGGAAGAGGGAACTTCAATTGAAGAATTATCTCCATCAGACGGACATGTCTGCGAGCATTTTCTTAATTTCTAGTCAATGAAGGAGGACTTAGACCACTGTTTGCAGTGCCAGCCATGGGGTAGACCATCCTAGATTGTGTAAGAAAGGTGTCTGCACGTGTGTCTGGAAACAAATCACTTAGTAGCCCTTTACTTTATGGCTTCTCTTCAGTTCCTCCAGATCTCTGCCTTGGCTTCATTTGATGATGGGCTGTAACCTGTAAGCTAAAATATACCCTTTCTTACCCAGGTTGCTTTTGGTCATGCTGTTTATCACAGCAATAGAGGTGCATACCTGGACAATGTACAGCTAGAATGTGGGCATGGCAGGAGGTTTCCCTGGGCCTTCCTGGTCGGTCAGAGGGTCTGAAGCCCTATAGGGTCTGGGCCTGGGCCCCATGTTAAAAAGAACCTTTAGACTGAGCAAGTTGCCAGGACAGGAGATAGTTATTTTAGTCTAATCACATATTCTCCTCATACCAAGTATCACTGTTGTCTTAGTTCATGGCCAACTCCTCCCTGTGGCTCAGAGCTGTGTTAAATATTAATAAGTATGAAAATTGGCTAGCATTATAGTAGCTGCCTTTTTAACTCCAAGATGTATGAGGTTGCTGGGGTTTTGAATGCAATATGGCTGTTTAGATTTCTAATCACAGAGTTTTGAAGAGGCAGTTGAGAAGCAAGCTTGTTAAGGTTAGAGGAGACTGCTGGAGTCCCTCTTATTCCTTGGCTTACCCTTTTTCTTGCAGAGGCAATAGTCTTAAGGGAATACTGAGGGTCCTTCAAGGGCTGGGCACCAGATGTATACAGCTGTTGTTTTGTTCAAAGAGCTGTTTTGTGTTTTAAAGAGAGAAGACTTGGAGCTTCAATGTATTAAGTATTTTATGCACTTAAAAAATAAAAACATTTAATCATGTTGAGATCTATTTTGGGGATAATATTTTGGCATAACCTGAGAAATTCATCTTTAGAACTATATTTATTTACTTTATTTTATGTGTATTTGTGTACCTGAGTGTGTGCCTGACCATGTGTGTATTTGAACTGGAGAAGGTTTGATGAGGTGTTGGATGCCTTGGAACTTCTGGGGTTAGAAATGGTTGTGAGCCACCATGTGGGTGCTGGGAATAGAACCTAGGTCCTCTGGAAGAGCAGCCAGCACTCTTTACCTCCGAGCCATGTCTCCAGTCCTAATAACATAATAAATTAAAATTTGCTTGAAGTCCTCAAGTGAAACTAACCCACACCTTGTAAATACCATGCATGTCTTTTTAAGCAGCTCAATTTCTGTTGTCAGAAAAAGAATCAAATTCACCCTTCCCTAAACAATCAGTGAAAATCGACAGCCCCTTACCACCCTGTTGTAAGACTGGACTGGACTCTGTCTATAACATGGTTAGAAAGCTTTGTGCTTTAAACCTGATGAAGCAGCATCTGCAGGGTTAGAAACGCCTCACTTGTAGCCCAGGGATGGTGCTTGGAAATAAATCCCTGTCATTTTCCCTGGCCCGATATTATCTTCAGAGCTAAATCGGAACAAATACAAGAAACCTCATTAAATTGTATGTCTGTATTTTAGTAAATACAGACTGCTTATGGCTACATGCAATTTGAATACACCCAGACTTGCATATTCCATCTTGGAGTCCATGTCAGATTTTTTGGCTTTCAAGGCCCCCTTTCCCCTACCCCTTCATGCCTTCCTTCAAAGCAACCAAAGCAGAGACTGCTGTTTCTCGCATCCTTTGACTGCCTCATGCAGTTACATAGAGTGAGTGAGGACTTCAGTCATCTGAGCCACTGGAGGAGTCTCATCATTTTAGCTCGGCTAACATGGTTTTGGTATGTTTTAAGCAGAAATTGGAATTCATATGAAGTGGTGTCAGAGAGCACTGTGCGTTTATAAGCATTCACTCCTGCAAGTTAAAAACCCGGTTCATAATTCCCACCTTGGGTCTTGGGGGCTACTTTTCAATCATTTCTCTCTGCTAATTTTGGTGTCACCCTCATTTCTTTTTAAACGATTCATTTTGAGCAAATTTGTAAATGGCCCTGATGTGTTCTACAATTTAGTCAATTACTGTTTCAGCCTGCAAGCCTCCTGGGGAACGGAACATACATGGCCTGAAGGTACGAATTTCAATAATTGTTTCAGTAAAGTTAGATGGATTTGTAATGCTGTGTTCCACTTATTGAAATGTCAAATAAAACTGCACTTTCTCAAGCTCTGACAAGCAATCTTCTCTCTCTCTCTCTCTCTCTCTCTCTCTCTCTCTCTCTCTCTCTCTCTCTCTCTCTCATATGGTGGGGGTGAAAAGGCGACAGATGTATTTGCTTATGCTGTGTATCTACTTGAAGCTAAGGTCTTTGGTGCTGTATTTCTCAATTATTTGGAATTGTTTTGTTGGTCAGTTTCTCCAGGATGATCCTGGAGTCTGTTCTCCACAAAGATTCATTTGAGTGCGAACATGGACTTCATTTCGGTGATTAATTAAGCGCATAAGCATATTGCACGCAAGGTGCCCTCCTTCTTCTCTCGACATATTTATGTTTGGAACACATATCTAGTTAATGCCTTTTCATTGTTCTGCATGTTTTAAATTCTGGATTTCTGCTCAAGGCTTCCCATCTGAAAGAAAAGCTGGCTATTTTATTAGGCTCAAGTGTTTTGTAATTAATTACTTGGACCTCATTTTCTGGTGAATGAGAAGCAGTTGTAGAGCTGGAAGGGGGCAGTATCCTGAGGTTTGCTACTAACCTCAGACATAAGCTAAATGCACTTTCATAGGCATCCGATTTTATATTGTTTTAGGTAGTGAACTGAGGTTTTTCACCCCTCAGTGTTTCTTTCTTTCAGCAGTATTTGAATAATACCAGGGATAGGGGATTATGTAATATGTGGATTGTACAGTTCTGTAACCTATATACTGAATACACTCCAACCATGGGTCTATCTAGCAACAAGCTAATTAACCTTCATAGTGAGGTGAGGCATTGTGTGGTGAATTATAGGTTAATTAGAACTGTGTCCTCAGAACACAAGGCTGATCAGACTTTTCTCTTTACTTATAGGTGAATACTCGAGCTGGACCATCTCAGCATACCAGCCCTGTAGTCTCAGATTCACTTCCAAGCAATAGGTGAGGACAAACAAGGGAAGTGTGCCCTGCTTTGATCCTTTCTCCAAGTGGGGGTGGGAAGAGGCATGGTCAACACAAGTCTGTTCTGTGAGGTAGAAAATTGTAGGCGGATGTAAAGAAAAGTAGACTAGCCAGATAGCCCTCGGTGCATACTGGCTGAAGAGAAAAAAAGACTTAACATAAAAAGCTAAAATTAGAGACAGGTGAGATAGCCAGTGAATAAAGTGCCTGCCAGGCAAGCGTAAGGGCCTGAGTTTGGATCCCAGCCCCCATGTAAAAGCCAGATGTGGGAGAATACATCTGTGACTCCAGTTCTAGGGAGGTGGAGATAGGCAACTCTCAGGAGCTCACTGGCCAGCCACCCTAGCTGAGTCCATGAGCTTCAGGTTCATCAGTAAGAGACCCTCTCACAAAACACAAGATTGCAAGCCATTGAGGAAGATACCATATATGAACCTCTGGCTTCCACATGTGCACAGATATGTGTTCACACCCACACAAGCACACACAATAAATGAATGAATGGATGGATGGATGAATGGATGAAGATACAAAAGGTGGAATCCACATGTTACACCATTAACTTTGTTTTAGAGTAGTTATTCCCTCAGTCTCCAAATTGCATAGACTGTTCTGTGCCTGTTTCAATCTTGGTATGCTTACAAGCTGTGTGATACCAGGTCTTTCTTGCTTGTCCATCTTTTGACAGTGTTATTATCTGCTGGCATCTTCACCAGTCAGAGTCAGGGAAAGAGTCAGACGTTGACATTTAACTTGACCAGCAGTGCTGCTCATTAATGGCATTTTTGGTTGTCCAAGAGATTAAAGCTACTGTAACAGGAAGGTCATTTTTGTTAATTCATGCTAGCATCACCCCACACTGGGACAGGTCTTAAGCCTTCCAAAGTCTTCTTATATGTCTGGGCTTAACCAAATTATGGCAGTACTCAGGTCAAAGGGGTGACTTGGGACATTTTGTCCATGTGTCCAGTTAGTCCGCTAGTAAATATCACATTGCTCACTGTGGGGGTGGTGCTGGAAGGGTGCTTGCTCTAGATTGTAGAGGAACAATGATTCCTGAAAATCTGACAGAACTGGGAAACTTTTCTTCCATCCTGCACTGAAGATTCCTGGCCTCTGGGCTTTAATAGTGTATACATAGCCTTTTATGGGCTGAGGTGCAGCTAAGGCTTCTGCTTTCCCTTCACTCCCTTCTGTCCTCCTTTACCCACAGTCTTGGATCCTTGGCTGTGGGTTTCTGATTTGACTCTGGCTTACCATCTGGCACAGGCTGTGGTAAGGGTTGGCCACTCTCCTCCTGGTGGGAACATCTGTAGGAGTGCTTGCATCTTAGTAATGGGAGCCACAGAGACCCTCTGCTCCTGTGATCTTGCCACTTCTTTATTTCCTTTTAAAAATTTAAAAGATTTTATTTTATGTCTGCTTCCCTTTATGAATATACAATATGTGTGTTCAGTGCCCATGGAGGCCAGAAGAGCTTCTTGGAGCCACTAGAACTGGAGTTTCAGATGCTTGTGAGCCTCCACCTGGACTCTGGGAACCAAACCTGGGTTCCCTGCAAGAGCAGCAAGTGCTCTAAACTAGTGAGCCACCTCTCTAACATATTTTTTTTTCTTTAATTTTCGAGAGTCTTGCTATGTAGCCCAGGTAGACCTCAAACATGTGGTCTTGCCTCATCCCCCAAGTGCTACCATTACTGATGTGTGCCACCACACCATCTCCACAATCCCAGTTGACCTAAGAGCCCCTCCACTAGATCCGCCCCCAAAGCTGCTGTCACTGTCTACCCACTCACCTTCCAGCTGGGAACATGGAACTCTCAAAGGGTGTCTCCTTTAACAGTTGATTCCATCTTAGAGTGCTGTTAGCTAGCTAGTTACCTGTGTGTCACCTGCCTGGTCTTGCCGGACAGATGTTTGCTTGTCCACAGAGAGCTTGGCTCTGCCGGACACTGCTTTGCATTCCCTCTTTCCATGCTGCCTGGACATGTGAGTCATGGTCCTGCAGAGTGGAGGAGTGTGGATAGAGGACTGCTTGTTCACAGAGCTCCAGGAAGATAGAACATTTCACCGGTACCACTGATTCCAGAAAAGATGGCATACATACGAACAGCATGTGAGTCTAGGGTAGGACAAGGTTTTCCCCTGGTGGTTTAGATTACACTTTCTTTATGGCATAAAAAGCCAGATGGATTTGAAAAGATTTCAGATCACAGAAGCAGTGTTACTTCCAGTCTTCCACAGTCATTGCAGCCACAAGTGAAGATTAGCTTGGAGTAAAAGCTGTCACGTCTCTTTGTGAAGTATTGTAAGACTCTTGGATCGGATGAAACTTCACCATCTGATTATCTCATGGCTTCATCTGGGCATCTTCACATGGGGATATGGCAGCTTCCTAGAGCGTAAGGATAGTGATTCCTATCATGGGAAGAATGTTAATTGAAAAAGTCCTACGGGTGTTTTTAATATGTTACCCTACATTGGCCATGTTCTGTGCCCCAGGTTGATAACTAATCAGCAGGTATTTATTGAGTGCCTCTTATTCATTAGTTGCTTTCCTAGGAATATGATGTGGCAATGGTAATGTGAAGGAATCAAGTGCATGCAGAGAGAAACACTAGACGGGACTATGTTTCTATTTAAACCGAGTACTCAGAGCTGGCTTCTTGAGGAAAGTGATATTCCATCTAGACATGGTACACTAGGAGGACCAAGTTATATCACAATAAAGACATTTCACCTAGAGGGATGTGCCTACGACAAGGCCCTGTCTGTACTTGGGCTGATTGGCTGGAACATGCAGAGAGGTACCTGGTTAGGGTAGGGTGTGGGAAGTTAGAGGAGAATAACAAAGTGGTGGAAGGCAAGGATGCAGACAGGAGTCAGGTCATGTGGGATCCAGAAGGTCCAGTAAGCCTTACCTTTCCTTTATTGGATTGGAGAGCCAGAGAGGGCTGTGGTAGCAGAAGGCAAGCCAGGCCAGCAATCGTAGGTAGTTTGTCTGTGGGAAGCAGAAGGAGGGAAAGCTCTAGCCTTACCCTGCTCTCCTTTGATGCTTGACTCATATTTTTTTTGCCAAATGGACACCCTGTATTTTTATTCTTTTACACTTTGGATATCTCAGCGTCTTTCCTGGGGTATCATAGCCAGGTTACAATTATGTGCACTTAAATTTTAAAACATTTAAAAATGGTTTTGATAACAAGTTCTGGCAGAAATGAAATTAATAATCAGAGTCCAAAACAAATTTACTGAATGAAAGTTTTCTGTTTTTCATGCTAAGACTTGAACCTAAGACCTTGCACATGCTAAATATATATTCTACTCCTGAGTGCTATTCCTCCTGCCCTTTTTAAAACTAGGTCAACACATCTAGATATTGTCATGTAAATGGAATCAGTGTTCCCTCTGTTACTTTCAAACTGTCGGTTGTTCTTTGGCTGAGGTGAATGACTTTTTATTAGACTGAGCTTATCAACCTACATGGCCTTCCTAGGTCATAATTACTGAATTCAGGTAAAATTACTGAATTCTTGTGTAAAATTAGGATGATTAAGTCCTTGGCCCATCCACTGCTAGTGTAAGATTGATGAAGCTATGTTATAGAATCACATTTTGTTTCTTGGATGAAAGGCATTTTGTAAATGCCATGAATCAGAAGTATTGTTTAAGTTTATTACATAATGGACTATCTATCTGTGGAGAGAACATAGAGGAGCCTTTGTTTGGCTGTTTATGTCTTTACAGTAACCAGAATTATCAAATTGAGCATCATTTAGAGTAATACAAAGATTAAAATATTTCTCAAACAAGTGTGTATCCATGTAAGTGATAATCTGAATTTGAGCAAGATCCTTTTTTCTGTAAGTTAGGGATAATAACTATACATATGAAAGTAGAGATCCTCAGGGGTCCCTGTGGCAGAGCCTGCCATTGCTCAGCACCCTGTAAATGGAAGTGCCATGACCATGTTGGTAACTGGACTGGTTTTAAGGCAACTGCTCACTTTTTGGAATGTACTGTAGCTTTTGTTCCAGTCTACAGAATTCTTGACTATTCCCCTGGGCTGATTTGGACTCTGGAGGACACTATTTATTGGTCTAGAATCCTTAAGTGAAGGCACATCTTAAGACAGTTTGTAAAAAGTAGGAACTGAGGCCCACTAGTCTGTGTTGGACTTCAGCAGAATTTTCAGGAGTGTTTGGAGAGAATGATTATCAGCTGAAGGCCCAATTTGAAGTCTGAGGTCATCTCCAGCTTTATGCACAAAAGGTGTCAGATGGAACGGCACTGTGGTCCTGATCCTGTTTGCTTCCTACTGTGTTTAGATCTTTATGTCTTTCCATGTTATCACTACACCTGTCACAGAGTAACATTGACCACCATTTCTTGAACATTGAATACCTGACTGTTCAGGGGCAAGCAGGGAATGGAGCATAATAGAATAAATTGAGGCTGTGTTCTCAGGTAGCTTCCAGTCTCAGGTGAGAGTGTAGGGGAAGAAAGATCCGCATTGGTAAAAACCAGAAGAGGGAGTTTGTCTAGCAGAGAACATAGTCTGAGCAATATTGAGGATAGAGCTGATGAGCTCTGCATTCCAAAGAGAATTGTAGTTGCAGAGGTGCTGTTTTTTAAAAACTTGATGTATTTTTTGCTTGTGTGCAAGTGTTGTTGTACCTGTGTGTGTGATGTCTGTGCATCATGTTCATGCTGTACCTGCGGAGGCCAGGAGAGGGTGTTAGATTACCTGGAACTGAAGTTTCAGACACTTGTAACCCACCATGTGGGTGCTAAGAACCAAACCTGGCTCCCTTGAAAGAGCAGCCAGTGCTTCCTAGCCTGGAAAGTGCCATTTTATACCCCTTGCTACTTAGTGGGGTGACTATGTAGAGGTTTAACCTGGTAAAAATTTGAGAACTTAAAAGCTTCATACAGCCATCCCTCTTGCTTAAGCCCTGTAACTAAATTTATCTGTAGAAATGTTTACATGGTGTACTAGCTTCTGCTCCTGTAACAAGTGCCTGAGGCAATGAGCTGCTAAAGAAGGAGGTTTATTTTGGTTCACAGTATAGACAGTTTCAGTCTGTGGTTAGGTCCCATTGATTTCTGCCTGATGATAGGGCAGCATTTCATAGTGAGACCATGTGGTGACTTCCTGGTGAGCAAAGCAGAGAAAGGCAAAACGAAGGAGGTGGGTATCCCACAATCTCTGTGCAGAGCATGCCCCCAACAAACTTAAACAGGCCCCAGTATTTAAAGTTAGTACTGAGGTGAAGGTCTGTGTGATGAACTTACTAGGTAGCAAATAGCCATATATGTTCAGAGGACATTTTAATAATCACTAACTAAATAAGGAAGTTGAGTTTCCTAGGAAAGCAAAAGAGAGAGAGAGAGAGAGAGAGAAGGCAGCCTGTGGTGTAGAAGACACTGCTGTTTGGTGACATTCCCTGTCTACTTACCCATAATGCTGATATGCTGCCTATTTTATAGAAAGAGGAGAGGTAATGGGTCCCAGGTCTCATAGCTGCTGACATTGGCTACTGCATGTTTGTTTCCAGGAAGCTGAGTGACTAATAACTCTTATCTGTAGTGAGAGACCAGAGCGTAATCCATCTATCGTTTGGAGTTCTAGAATCTTTGATGCAGGAGAATATTCCCAGAGTGCACATGTTCAGTGTTCAGTGTATCAGGTGTGAAGCCCACAGGTCATCATGGAGGGGCTTTTGTCCCACTACATAGTTCACTTCCTAGACTCACGGGCTTTAGTACTCCATGACATCTGTGACATTCTACCAGTTACTTAAAAGCAACAAAAACCATGTATGGGGAAAAGTAGCATAGTCTGTACCTCAAAGACACATTTTAGTCCACATTATTTTATTACCATTATGTCATTATTATTGTTAATTGATAGACAAGTTCTTCTATAGCCTACACTGGCCTCAAACTCCTCATGTGGCTGAGGATGACGAACTGCTGTTCCTCTTGCTTCTTGGAACTACAGATGTGTGCCCGCACATTCTGTTTACCTTGTTTTGAGGATCAACCCCAGGGCTGGTGCATGTGAGGCAAGTCATGTGCCACCCAAGCCACATCTTCAGCCCCTGGCCTGGAATTTGCAGTTGTGTTGAGAGTTGTTGGTGACTTTGTCACTGACAGTATCTTTTCTTTGCAGCTTGAAGAAGTCTTCGGCTGAACTGAGAAAGATACTGGCCAATGGCCAGGTAAGTATTGTTGCATACTGAACTTCAGACTAGTACTCTGTTGCTCTCCAGAGTGTAGCCATTTTAAGTGTTACGTAATGAAGAGTCTGCACATTTCTTCTTGTCATAAATGAATGCCACAGCTTAATTTGATTGGCAGAACAATCTCAGCACGTTTTTCAACCTGAGCTAATGGGTTTCACTCCCAGCAGATTGAGGCACTGCACACACACCCCACTGCCATCTCAGTTTAAAAAACTTAATCAGTTCTGAACAAGTCATCACCCGTGGGTTGTTGACAGGGCCCTGTGTTCTGAAGTGACTGTTTCTTTCATTATCTTTGGGGACAAAAGGGGAAGACTGTTACTTTCCTGCCTTAGCTCCTCTTTTGTCCAGAAACCAGCATTGGGGACTGAAGGCAGTCTGGGCAGACTGTGGCACGTGAGTCTGGGCTTCAGGGAACCTTGGTTTGCCTTGTCGATGAGCCATCCAAAACTGAATGACCTAACCCAGCCAGGAAGGACAAACAGGCACGCAGGCCACTTATCTTTCACTAATTTTGATTCAAGTAAATAGATATTTCTAAAAAAAGTATAGTGCTTTTAAATATTCACTGGTAAGTGAAGCTACCTACAGGGGCTGCAATTCCTCAGTAGCAACATAAATGCGTTTTAATGTTTGTTACAGCAAAAACCCTTTGATAGCCTTGCAGGCAGTGCCTGTCCATTGCGATCAAGCCTGCCTATTAGGCTCTATTGACTGAGACATCTGTGTCACTGCAAATAAAAGACTCTTATTGATTTTCTTAACTGCTGTTCACTTCCGTCCATGTTTCGAAGGCTGAGATCTTAATTATCTCCGATGCTTATTCAGTGCCTCAGCACAGCGACCTCTCCAAGCCTTGCTGGCATTTCATGAATCAAGGACTTGTAGTGGAGCATGCCAAAAGGACAAAGCCAAATCCTCACACTTGTCCTTTAATAACACCTGTAACGTGTGTGTGTGTGTGTGTGTGTGTGTGTGTTTGTGTGTGAGTGGCATGTGTAGAAGTACTTTTGGAAGTTTACCACTCAATCTTTGGAATAGTTACCAAAAATTAAGTTGATTTGGTTCTCACAGCTTCTCAGCCAGTGTGCAAATGTTCCACAATCAGTGAAAGAGAATCTGGAGTGGTTGTGTATATGTGTCTCATCCCAGTGGTCTCAAATTCTGAAATAGACTGTGCAAGGGGTCAAACCTGGGTCCTTTACATTCTCAGCCAGTGTTAACCCCTCAGCCTCCAACCAAGTGTTGGAGAGCATTTACTTACTACTTTTGCCTTGGATTAGTTTAGGTCAGGGTCTGCACCTGATGCCTTGTGCCTGGTATGTGTGCAGAATGAGCATAAACAAAAGCCAGAGTACTGCACCCAGGCCATTTATATATCTTCAGCATGCTTGCATTTTCATTACTAATTATAATTTATGTACTAGTCTCTCGTGTTCTTCAGCTGGAAAATATATTTCAAAATAGACATAAATTAAGAAGTTTTAACTACATTTATTCAACCTAGGCAATGGAAGATAGCCTGTCATACAGTGTTCTTTTCAAAATGAAAAACTTCATTTTCACTGTTCATACATGCACATACACACACACACATGCACACACAAACACACACACACATACATGCACACACAAACACACACACACCAGCATTCCGAGATGCCCCTAATGTTCTGATAAAAAAACAGCCCACATGTATCGTAGGAGGGTCAGTTATAAGGGTCTTCTGCAGTGTGAGATTGACTCGACAGTGGCTTTTGACACTTAAATATTATTTATTGCTTTCTCTAGGGAGTATGTTAACCCCACAGTAAACAGTGTGGCAGTTTCTTTCTTTTTATTTTTAAAGATAAGCTTATCTTATGCTTACTTTTGCTCAAAAATAAATGAATTAAAAAGAGGCAAGAATACTGCTCTTCTGTATGCTTTCAAAACACCTACTTGTACTAATTCTTCTGTTGGTGCCGGGGAGTAACTAACTGAGGGTGAGATTTCATGTGGTGAAGAATGCAGATGGCAGGGCATCGGTAAATCTCAAGGCTGAACACTGACACTATTTGATATGGAAGATGTAAGTCACATTTAACGATACTTGAACACTTGAGTGTAGTTTTATTTTAGTGGTTTAAGCTCTCAAGCATTAATAATGATTTGCCTTTCCACTAGCCTCCACTTAGATTTCATAAGGAATTCATATTAATCATTAACAGAAAGGGACATGATTCTTCAAGATAATCAAATATTGACAGGTTAGAAATAGCTTTCTGCCTGGGTTCATTGATATAGGTTATGTGATATAAATATTTATTTCTTTTCTGTCACTCAGAGTAAATGCCACCAATTGATTCAGCATTGATAGAGTGTCAACAGTTCATAAGAAACATTTGACTGGCTTGTGTTTTCCGATTAGTCTCTGCTCTATAAAGTGGGATTTACTAAATCTCCCCAATTGTCTGCTCATAGAGTGTGACGCCTTCTGAAACCATTATTGCTTCGATTTGTGAAGCAAAGGTCTTGTGCTGGGACTGGGTTCTGTCAGGCCTTTACATATAAAATAGGATTAATTGAGCATTTTTATTTTAATGATTTATAAGTGATATTCTTTTTAACACAGTCAGACAATAAACAAAGAACATAGTCTTTGCTTATTGATAATTAAATTCCATTTCATTGTCCCAATTAATTTCATTAATATGTTAAATCAAGAACCACTTTACAAGTTGACCTTTAGTCTTTGGAATGGAGCTGTTCTTTTCCAGTTGTCACTTTATGGTGTCGGACTTCAGTTTCCAGCTTAATAAATATATCAGAAGATATTTTGGGCCTGTTTTATTGAGAGCTATGAATCAGACTTGCTGTGGTATTTTTGGAGTGTGTTTTCCTCCATTTGAGTCCAGCATGGCTCTGTCTGTCTAATGATGGCCCTGAGTGTGAAAATGACTGGAAGTAGTTCAGTCGATTCATAGGATTTTAAAAACATAGTTGTCACTCCATGGACCTGTGACTTTTACCTCTGTATCTCTAAAGTGTTTTTGTTGTTGTTTTGTTTTGTTTTGCTTTTTTGGTTTTTTTCCCCCTTTGGTTTTTGATTTTGTAGCTAGATTGACTGTATTTACTGTTAGCGAAAGTCCAGGTTAACACACCGGGAAATCACACTACAGCTCATTCCTTTCCTGCCACATTTTTGTTGCTTGCAGAACTTCAGAAACCTTTAGAAAAATTCTCTAACCTGGGGAGAGTAAGAATCAGCTGTAAAAACTACCTTTAAAAACCCCATCAGCACCAGCAGGTAAAACTCTCCAGTTCTAAACGGTGCTGTCTCAGCTCCTTGTTGAGAACTGGGGCAGGAATGAGTCTGAGAGTAGAGCAGAGCCCCTCTCCTGCCCAGACAGAGCCTGACCTCAGGGACTGCTGTCCCTGCTGCTTCCCTGCCCCGCCTGCCTGCTTCTCTGAACCAGAATAGAGGCACTGCCAGTCATTCCTTTCTTGTTTGTGGATATGTAGCTGCTGTGGCTTTTCCTTCCTCTTCCCTCACTTCTACTATTTTGCTTCTTATTTGCTTTTTAAAGTTAAAACAAAGAAAATCAAATTAAAAATTTACAACTTAAGTTAAACAGTCTCACATCTTTATAGCTTGAAAAGCTGTGGGGGTGTGGGGATGGCTGGGGTGTAGTAATAGTAGTGTGTGCACATGGAGGTCGAAGATTGACTCTAAGTGTCCTCCTCTATTGCTGTACTTACCTATCTCTATCTATCTATCTATCTATCTATCTATCTATCTATCTATCTATCTATCTATCTATCTATTTTTGAGACAGGGTCTTTCACTTAACCTAGAGCTTGCTATTTTGGTTAGCTTGCTGGCTAACACATTCTGGCGATCCCCCTGCCTCTGTCCCCTTACTGTGGGATGCAGGAGCATGTCTTCATGCCCGATGTTTATGTGGGTGCTGAGTATATGAACTCAAGTCTTCATGCTTACCTACATAACAAGCATTTTACCATCCAGCATCTCCCTGGCACCTGAGCTAAGTGTTTTGCTTTGTAAATTTGTACTTTCTTAGAAATAAATGAAATTTATTTATTTAGAAAATTGCCTTTAACCTCTGAGAGCCTTTTGTTCAGTGGCTATCTGTCAGTGAGAGTCTTTTGGTCAGTGACTGTTGGTCTGTGCATATTGACATTGGAAAGGAATGTTCCCACACCTTGCACCCAAAACAGACTGAACTAGTGTATTTATCAACAAGCTACACAATCTCATGAGTCAGGTTAAATGGTCTTAAAATGCTATAAAACTGTGCTTTGTGTGATACTAGGTCCGCACTGTAGTGGTCACATGATTATTCTGTGGGTTTATAAATCCCACCTTCATTTCATAGTAAACACCATTCCTGTACTTCGTTTTGAAAGGTTACTTTAGTGTGCTTATCTAATTATAAATGGCAAACTTGCTTTTAGCTGTTTTTATAGTTTTATATCATGTATGAAATCCTCAATAATTTTAAATTCAGTTCATATGCTCTGCTTTAATAAGCTTTTGTTTTTATAATATGATATGGTATGATATAATATGATACGATATGATACTCTAGCCATGGACCTGTAGTCCCAAACTCAGGAAACTGAGACCAGAAAAAAAAAAATTATTTGACCCTAGGACTTCAAGTCCCTGTTACATAAAACAAGCAAATGGTTCAAACCCATACTTTTAAAAACATGAGAAATATTCATATGCTATAAAAATAAGGAACAGCCATAAGCAAAGAGAAAAGGAATCTGATAGAGATATGTATTAAATTATTTATTGAGACAGAGTCTCACTATATAGCTCTGGATAGCCTCTAACTCACTTTGTAGACTAGGCTGGCCTCAAACTCACAGTGATCCTCCTGCCTCTGCCTAACTAGTGCTAGGATTAAAGGAGCATGCCACCATGCCTGTCAGATTTATTTATTTATTTATTCACGTATTTATTTTTGTGTGTGTATGCCTGCCTGCTTGTCTGTGTGTATACCATTTGCATGCAGTACCCACAGTGTCTCGAAGAGGGCATTAGATTCTTCTGCTACTGAAATTACAATTAGGTTCTGGGAACAGAATCCATGTCCTCTGCAAGAGCAGCAAGAGTTCTTGACCATTGAACCAGCTCTCTGGTTATTGATATTTCTTAATATTACAAAAAATACTATCAGTTCATTGGCTGGGCAAAGGGCTTGCGTACCTTGTAACAGCATAGAGACTCTTCGATTATTTCTTGTGGATGTAGTCTTTTAAAGTAATACACTTTTAGAACCTATAATTCATAACCACTTCTATGTTTATGAATATGCATAATCTTCCTCATTATTTGGAGGATTCCATAATTTCACCTTAATTTTTAGTACTTACTCATGTACACATGCAACAACAGGTTTTGCCTCCCCTCAACTTCTCACCAACATTCTTCGTGAGGCTCTAAGCCCCCTCCTCTGATGATGTAAATCTATCGTTCCTAATGAAGTTGACATGTGGGAATACTGGCCACTCCTCTTTTGTCAGTACTGTTGGGGTTGTGGGTGTAGGTGGTCAGAGATACCCATAAGTTGCCCTTTGCCAGTGGGAAGGACTTGCTCACAAATGTTAGCTCTTCCAGAACCCTGACCCTTTGTGTTGTATGTCTACATCCCAACTACCCTTTGACCTTATTGCCACCAAGTCAGAGCTTGTGCACTTGACTAAGTGACATTTCTCTCTCCTAGAAATTTACTTGGAGCCACAGTGAAAATGTATTTCGTTAAGCAAGTTAATGGTGCAAATTAGTTTGTTGGAGGCATGTTTAGATTACTAGAGAAATGCTCTCAGGGAATTGGCTTGGTAGCTGTTCATACCTGCCAGTAGACACCGCTGTTTATGAACCCTTCATCAATCAAAGCGAAGCAAGTGGCAGTCCTGCTCGCTTAGCATCTCAGGTCACTTCCTGGGCTGCTGTTCTCAATGCTGTTGGAAAAGGTGTCATTTAAGTCCAGAGTAATGTGGCTTGCTTTCCTTCATGCCACATCTTTTCTGCGGGGTAAAATATCATTTTATTACATTAATAGTTTAAAGGTCATGAAGAACAGAATTTTCCTCAAATGGGGAAGCAGTTGGCAATTTTTCTGACTTGTCTGCCAGTGTTTTTCCAGTGACCTTAAATATAGCAATTAGCTGATTGTAAATTGCATCAATCAGGTTGTACAACAATTAAATCTGGTGCTGAATTGACCCTCACACATGAGTCTGTCGATATTCTTTCAGGAATTGGCAAAATGGCTTGGCAAAGAAGCTGTCGCTTTTGCTTGCACCACACACTTAATTATCACAGTCCTCTGAAGCTTCAACCGCAGAAATGTATAGAAGAAAACTATTTCCCTTGATAAATGAAGCCTTTGCTGTATTCAGTAGGTGGGAGTTTAGAGCAGTGCAAATATTTAAAGCTTTACTATAATAATGGTCCAAAAGCAAACTATTATTTTCCAAGTGATATTGAATTAAGAACTCCATCCATTTTCTGCCCAATGCAAGGCAATGCAATTCCCTGGAAATTGATTTTTTTTTTCCAGGGCTCACTTTCCCAAGCTTTAGCTATATGGAAAACAATACCTTTATTAAATCTACTTTGTGAATAAAGTTGGCAGTTAATTTTTATGCAGCCGTAGCGGTGCCTAAAGAATTACTGAGTATATCAATGGAGTCTGACTAGCTTTAAAGTCATTTGATAAATGGTTATTTAGGGAGTCCCTTGCAGACTTGAAAACATTACTTTGTGGGTGCCAGCATAATTTACCTGCCATTCATGGTTACAAACAAGAGTAGTGTTTTTGGTATAAGTTTTGTGGAGCCTCATAAAACATGCATGCTGTCTTGGACATTAAGTTATAGGAGTGGCATCAGTTGATATCACGCACACGCTGTGTGTTCCCTGTAGGCATTATGATGTTGGCATTTACCAATCAGTATAATATGATTTCTACCCAGCTATTGCTGTATACTAACTTACCATTTGCAAAGAAAAGCTGTTTCCACTAGAGGAAAATGATAAACGTTATTCAGTTTGCTCAATGTTAATTATAGGGTCACCCAAGGAGTTTTCAGGGGCTGGTTTATTTACACAGCATGCATAAATTACTGGCTCTCTCTCTCTCTCTCTCTCTCTCTCTCTCTCTCTCTGTGTGTGTGTGTGTGTGTGTGTGTGTGTGTGTGTCTTCATCTTCGTCCATGCGTGCATGTGCATGCGCATGGATGTGAGCTCTTACCGAGCTTGGTTTTGGTCCTCTGTGTGTTGCTGCTTGGCATTAGTTCTGTGCCATGCTGGAGAGCATTTTCCTATCAGTATCTCTGACCTGACCCTTCTGAGCTATGTTATATCATTCCATTTTGACACCTTTTATCAAACTTTAATGAAATGACCCAGGCAAACAAATTGTCATTAAACTTTCCATCACTTTGTCCCTTGGTATCGTCTTTTATAAATTGGACAGCAAATGTTGTATTGATCCTCTCGTTCTTGCAGCTGAACTTGGAATGACCCAGCGTGCTTGTTGTTTATGGCCCAGAGTTGCTTTCCTTGACATTTCCATCCACAGCATGACACCCTTTTTGTTTTTCTTTCTTTCCCGTGGAGATGAATGAACAAGACATACGGTATCGAGACACCCTTGGTCATGGCAACGGAGGCACAGTCTACAAGTGAGTAGTTATTCTGTTTAAACTTGATGTCCACTTTGCCAAGTGCTGAGAGCCAAATACCTCATGGCAAAGGTTTTACATGTTCACCACTGCTTGGATTTCATTTTCACATTTGACACCAGAATCTGCAAGGCAACTTCTATTTTCTGGGGAATTGCCTGAAAATGCATTTATATTGCCTTTTTAATATTTCTGAGTCTGCATCTCTCCTGGGTAAGTGGTTACTAGTCCACCATTAGCAAGTGTGCTTTTTTTTTTTTTTTTTTTTTTTTTTTTTTTTTACTAGCCTGAAGTTTAGCACATGTTTTTCTTTGCTCTTTAACACCTTTACTTATTATTATTATTTTTGAAACTTGTTCTCACCTTGTGCTGGTCCCTTGCCTGTTTACAGTTATGCCCAGTGGAAACCAAACCTTACAAATACTATTGCTCTGCCCTGTGTTGACACCGTTATTAAAAAGCCTTCTTCCTGTTGTATGCCGCTCCTTCTCTCCATGCTAGCATTTCTGCACACACTGATGAATATGTTAAGTTAGAAGACTCGCCCAAATTCCAGTTGCAGTAATCTTACCCTAAAGGAGTGTTCATTTTCATATTAAAAATGCTAAGCATAAAAAACAGTTCTCTCGACAGGGAAGTCCCTCTCACGGCAGTGCAAAGTTTAAACTACATAATGTAATATGTGGCACTTAATAGTCTGCAGTGGTGTATGAAAAATATTCCACTAGGAATTAGCAAATTCATCCTCCAAAGAAAGCCCTCGGGGTAACAGAGCTTTCTTGCACATACACCAGCCCCATGCTGCATTGCGCCTGTGTTTTTACCATAGATAGTGTAGTGTTAAAAAATGATTGGGGTTATAAAAGAATTAATTTGTATTCTGATTGGTTCCTTGGGAACCTAGCACATCCTTGTGTATTGATGCCATCTTGCATGGAACTCGACAAGGATTAAGAGATTCTTCAAGTCATCTGATCCTGGTCCTCCGCCCAGGGTTCAGTTTCCCAGGTACAGCAAGGATACAGCCAGGATGTGAGTCCTCCTAAGTACAGCAAGGATGTGAATCCTCTCCCAAGTCTTCAGTCTCCCTAAGTATAGCCAGGACTTGGCATCATGCACATCTCCAATTTCAGTACTCAGGAGGCAGAGGCAAGTGGGTCTTGGTGAGTTTCAGGCTAGCCAGAGATGCATGGTGAGGCCCTGTCTCCAAAACAACACAACACCAGGAACCTTTAGTAACCACAGTCCTCAGGATGCTGGAGCAGGAGGATTGTTAAGAGTTTGAGGTCAGCATGGGCTAATGGTGAGTTGATGGCCAGTGTAAACCACAGTGTGTGACCATGACTCAAAAAATTAAAAAAAAAAAAAAAAGAAGAAGAAGAAAATGTATATTCATCTTGTGGATTATTTTTTCTTCAGACAATTTAATAAAATGAATTGTTGGTCTGAAATTAAGTCCTGCCACAATAATGCTGGAAGCAAACCCAGGGCCCAGAGTTCCTGAGCTGCACCTCCAGTATAGATGTTAAAATTTTAACCATCTGTAAAGTTGTAATACAAATATAAGGAAGGGGGGATTTTTCAGGGAAGTAGAAATAACTTGTCCATTTCCCAAGGGAAGATTACAACATGAAATTATGTTGCTATTGTTTTAAAAATATTTTTAATCATTTTAAAATGTAAACCATTTTAAATGGTTTAAATGGTTACCATCATAACCATTTATGCAAATTTTGGGTTTGTTTTTCTTGAGACTTGGTCATGTTGTGTAGCTCTGGCTGGCTTGGAACTTGTTATGTAGACCAGGATGGCCTGCCTCAGCCTCCTGAGTCCTGGGACTAAGAGGCTGCTCCAGCACACCTCACTTTGTAAGCATTTTTAGTATGTGGTGTAGTGGTGTTAGTGTGTTCCCACTCAGAAGCTGCCATCAGTGCCCCCATCTGCAGAACTCTCCTGCAGAATTCTTTCCCACTAAATAGCCTCTTTACCCCCTTACACTTGTAGCCACCAAGCTAGGCTAGAAATCCTTTCATTGGGATGGAAATGTCCCTGGGACATTTGAAAGTGTCCGTATTGTGGGTTTCTTTAGTTGTTGGATTCTTCTCCCAAGGGTGCACCTAGCTGCTGTCATCTACATTCATATGAGTCTTCCAGGGTTACTGTTTAGATAGCAGGTGCTTCAGGTAGGTGAACGGCAGTGGCATGGTGATAGAGTACTTTATTTAATTAGTGTATTCTCTTGAAAAACTCCCATATACCCTATTGCCTACACAGTTCTGTTACTAGTATATTTTGTTTTGAAACTGGTTGTTGCCACATTGCCCAGTCTTGTCTTGAATTCCTTCCTTGGTTCAAGCAATCCTCTTGCCTCAGCTTCCTGAATACAGGTGTGTGTCACTGCAGTTGGTTCTTACCTAATTCTTAAGGAGAAAGAATGTGAAGATCTCCAAATCCAAAGCCACTGTGGTTAATGACTGCCCTTCGTTTCTGGGCTTCAGTGTGCAGTGTCCTTGTAACCCGGCTTTCAGTTCTCCACAGAGCGATGCTCCAGCCGTCAAGAATAGAGTTAAGTGTAGTGGAGCCTTTAAATAACACTGTCTGATGGGTTGGGATTGGGTTTCTCTTACACCAAGTTTACCTTTACAGTATTTACTATAAAAAATTATAGGGTTTTTTTTTTTCCAGAAATAAAATGATTACATTACAGGCTATGCTACATAAACTAAATGAAGAAAATATTGGAAAATCCACTCATTGGTAACAAAAGTGCCTAATGTTTCTATTTAATTTTTTTTCTTAGGAAGCATAATAAAGCTAATAAGTATGTATAAAAATCTAATATTTCAATCTTTTCACTTCACTTGTTAGGATATTGTCAATTTCAAGCGATGTGGTACCTCCTGTAACTGCAATGTATATTATTTAATAGTTGACACATTCTCATGATTTTTTTTTTTTTTTTGGTTTTTCAAGACAGGGTTTCTCTGTATTGCTTTGGAGCCTGTCCTGGAACTAATTCTGTAGACCAGGCTGGCCTCAAACTCACAGATATCCGCCTGCCTCTCCCTCTGCCTCTGCCTCCCGAGTGCTGGGATTAGGCGTGATCCATCAACACCAGGCACATTTTCATCGTTTTAATCTAGATATTTTCCTCAGTTGGCTGTGTGAAACTAGCTCCAGACAGTGGAACTTGTGTAACGTGGATTCTATGTAGACCATTCTCTGTGTTTTGATAGTCCCCTAAGCAGATGGTTTTTGTTGGTATTTCTTATATTACTAATTTGAGTCATAAAGGAAATTGAAATTTGAAGTATAGCCTAAGTGTAGTAAGAGGGAAAGTTTAGGGAGGTACATTTTTATTACTCCCTTACCCAAAACCCATAAATTCTTAAAAACAATTGTGTTTGTTTGTTTGTTTGTTTTTTAAACAGGAAAGGCATGTTTTATTTCCAGATTCATAATGAACTTCAAAAATGTAGTGGATATAGAAGACAGTATATGTTCTAATTAAGTATAAGGACTCTGAGTTTGAATTCTGTGTCTGTTGCTAACTAGCCATGTGAATGAGACAGTTTATATATAGTCTTCTGCCTCAATCAGTAGAGTGGGGATAGTAATGGGACCTCTGTTTTCAGATTGCTGCACACTTAAATGAGAGATCCAGGGCTGGCACTTTTCCTTGGTGGCTGCTGGTAGTAATAGTACTGACCGCACAAACTTTGTTTACACCCTCATTTTCTACCCTTGGGTAGATGGAGGTTTCTGTCCCACCCAGTTCACAGTCATTTAGTCTTAAATAAACACACAGAGGCTTCTGTTAATTATAAACTGTTTGGGCTATTGCTCAGGCTTATTGCTATCTAACTCTTACAGTTTAAGTTAACCCATAATTCTTATCTGTGATTAGCCATGTTGCTTGGTACCTTTTCTCAGTAAGGCATTCTCATCTTGCTTCCTCTGCATCTGGCTGGCAACTGACACTCTGCCTTCCTCTTCCCAGAATTCTCCTAGTCTGGTCACCCGCCTACACTTCCTGCCTAGCTACTGTCCAATCAGTGTTTTATTAAACCAATACGAGTGACAAATCTTTACAGTGTACAAGAGCATTATCCCACATCACTCTTATGTGACCATGGAGCTCATTTTGAGGAACATGTATAAAATCCCAGAATCATATTTGGACTCAGTTAACTTGGAGAAATCTTCACTATGCTTCATGTTATATTTTTTATTGTCTAATCATCCTACTAATAAAATGTTATTATATCATATTATCACAATATGATTTTCTGAAAGCTCAGTATTTTGTCTGGTATCACAATTTGTTTTCAGATTGTCACAGGATGGCTTGTATGTTGTAAACCCATTGTGTGCTTCTGGAAAGGAAGAGGGCTCCTGTTTGTTTAGTCATTCATTGGCCAAGTCAGAACCCTAGGCAATTTCTCCTTTTCTTTTTGGCCCCTCTGTGCTTTTCCCCTAGGCAGTCTTATTTCTCAAGGTCAGGCATATTCTATTGTGTTCCTTTGTATTCCCTGGCATACCAAGTACATGTCAAGGACTGAGTGAATGCTGGGTGCATGCTGGTTGACATATGGACAAGAGGAACTCAGGATTTTCAGTCAGGTTTCAGTGGGCTCCTTAATTGCACCCTCCCCTGTCTCTCTCACCCAGAAGAAGTGGGGTTCCAGACCAAAGGCATCTATTTAATGATTAGCTCTCTTGCATCTATTAAGATTTTGATGACTTACCATCTCCTGGCCCAGCATACTAGTCCTAGTCCCTGTTCCCTTTTCTTGGATAGTTTGTGACACTGAAATCAGAGTGATTAACAGGACACATCCCTTGGTTCCAAAGCCAGCCTATCGGACTCTGCTTTGAACAGAGCTTCTGCACTCAGGCTTCAGAGGAGCAGGGTGGTTAAGTCTTGAGATTAAATTGGGCTGCCCATCAGCTAACACTCACCCAAGTCATCAGAGGGGCTGCCCACTAGTTAACACTCA